CCCCAAAACCCCAAAACCCCAAAACCCCATTTTGCATAAAATTTATTGAAAATGGCAATAGGTAGGCAAGAAACTTTCCAGAAGCCAGCTTTAAGCAACTTTTTATCCCCACTAAGAGACTCAGGACAGAGGAATAGTTCCTTGGGGTACACTCCAAGAATTCCTCAAGCTCAAGTCGGATCTCTCATCAACTCTTTCCAGCTGTATGAAGGGATTTAATGATAGAAAATTCAGGAGAGGTGTGAAAATCAATGAATTGATCCACAAAGAGAAAGTTTTGCCTGCTATCCTAGCTTATAAAGTACAATCTTTTGTTTATCATATAGAGCCCTCCAAGTAGGTCAATTCAACATTCAACAATGAGTACTCGCGGTGGGAAAATATTCAGGATGCCTCAAGCAAATTTGGTAGGGGCTCAAAACTCACTTGGAAGGACTCAGAGAGGTAAGCATTGATAAAAAAAGGAAATATAACATTTATACATCTCTAGCTTAATTCCTACAATTATAGGGTTCAAAACAGGCATTGATCATCACAGCATAAACTCCAAGGTAGGTATTAAATAAAGTCTGTAGAGGATACAGAAAGTAACACGAAAAGATCTCTGAGTCAGGAACTCTATTTCCTTTGCAAAGACCAAGAACTTTTACCAATTTTCTCACTCTGTTATAGAATATAGCCCTTGAGAGAGGTAAACTATCAGCCTTGCTTCTATTTCTATTGGAAGTATTGCAATATTTTTAAATTTCTAACACAAATATAGAAAAACACCTTTAAAACCTACTCATTTAAATCTAAAATTTAACAAAATAAAGCTGGGAAAGAGGAGAAAGTCGATCAGGTTAGGATAATCAGTAATGTGTAGGCAATACAAGCGAGAATCACGGCAGCTCCCAAAGAAAGTAATATCAAATGTGTAAATGATAGCTTATGCTTAGAAAGTTCAAGAAGGAAGTTAACCAAAATATGGATATCAAAATGTTGAATTTTGATAACTAAATCTCAATCTTTATCTCAGAGCAAGGGGTTTTGGGGTTTTGGGGTTTTGGGGTTTTGGGGTTTTGGGG